ATTTTAGTGATGTTTCTCAGGACTTTCTCTTTATATCTTTCTTAGAAATTATGTCGATTATGAATTTTTTGAGTAAAGAAAAACGAGCGAGAGACCCCACTTGGGGGTTATTGTGTTTATGGGGTATATTTAGAGTACAGAGTTTCACTGCTTATCGTCATTAGATTTTTCAACTTCACTTGAATTGATTATTTCATAGTCTTTGCCATCTGACTCGGATTCGGAATCGTTGTGTGAACTGCAAATAAAGAAATAGTATACATTTTGATTAAAATATTTTAAATATACACTATATTTAAATATGCTATATATAATCTCAATATAAATATATAATATATTAAATATAAAAAATATAAATATAAATTATAATATAATTAAATTCTTAAGGTGAAATGCTGAAGACATTGCTAAATAATGTCAAAGATACAGTCAGACAAAACAAAAGCTATTACAAAAATATAAATCAAACATACATATAGCGGTAAACTAATATATATACTCCCTACCATAAGGTGGAGTATATATTAAATTTTCATTCCGTTTGCAACGCATCGAAATATTCACCACATAATATATATATATATATATATATATATATATTTTAACATAATTAAATTCTATGTCGATTTGTGCATGTCTATTGAAATCTGTCGGAAAATCGGTAAACCTATGTCTTAACCAAAAATTTAGGTTAATTTCATGAGTGTTTTCCAATTTTGTTGGTTTTTCGCAGATTACTTCATTTTACGTGGTCGATGTCAATGAATGAAATGTTCTACATCAAAATTCACTATGGGTCCACGAACAAAGGAAACCTCTAGCTATGTGTAATATATGTGTTAATCAAAAATTGAGGTTAATTTTATGACTGCTTCTTAATTTTATCGATTTCTCGCATATCACTTCGTTTAACGCGGTCGATGTAAATTGGTAGAAATATTCTACAACTAATTTCACTATGAGTCCTCTAATAACAGAAATCTGTAGCTATAAATATGAGCTACAAATAAGTTAACACATGAGAAAACCAAAAATTTAGATTAGTTTCGGATATTTTTCGAATTGCGTCTATTTTGACAGATAAGTTCATTATACACAGTTGGTGAAAATGGAAGAAATGTTCGCCATCACTTTTCCCACCACGTCTTAACCAACAATTGAGGTTAATTGCATGACTTTTTCAATTTGACGGTTTTTTGCTTATTACTTCATTTTAGCTGGTTTATGTCAATGAAAGAAATGTTCTACGTCAAATTTCGCTAGGTGTCCATGAACAAAATTAATCTGCAGCAATATGACATAACCAAAAATTTCATACATTTTTCAAATTGCCTCTATTTTTTGCTGATATATTCATTTGAGTTAGATGGTCCACGAACAAAATAAAAATTTTTAAATTTTGGTATTTTCAGGAGCTTGAGAAGGTCTTTCAACCTATTTAGAAGCAATTTAAAATTTTAGATTCTCATTGACTATAAATGTCATTACCAAATATGAACCGGATTGCATTCATATAATGGTAACCACCATTATTTTGGTACTGGTTTACTTTTTAGGAAATCCAAATATAACGCTACTCCCAAATCTCCCCATATAACGCTACACCCAAATTAACTGAAATTTTATATTTTGGATACTCATTGGGTGGAAAATCACCCTATAAAAAATGATAAATATTAATCCAAGTTGTTGGGCATATTTTTCAAACGAATTAGCTCTAATTTGATTTATCAAATTCTTATGGGGTGTCAAATATTTGTACCAAAAATTACCAATGGAATTTACGGTTTGGTATAGCTCACATAGGTCGGTGCCATTCCATTTTCGGTATTTTGAGGGCTTTAGCCGCATTCTGAAACCGTTGGGACTGTAATTTGGTATAAAGAGTTCTAGAAGACTGACTTATATACAAATTTGTGCGGTGTATATACGTCCAAGTTTTGATATAATCCCACATAAAAGTTCCGCTTATTTTTCGTATTAATAGACTTTTAAACGAATTTTCTCATAGAATCAATTATAATCTTAAATTTTTCAAGTAGAGTGTCTGTAATTTGGAACACTTGCTGAACAACCAACTATGACATAACACCATAACCTAGTCCCCATATAGATATCCCGATCGACTTAAAGAATTTTGAATTCACTCCCCGTGGTGGAGGTTATAAAAAGCTCGGACCGGCCGAACTTAAGAACTTTTTTACTAGAATATATTTCATCCTCAAAGAAAACGTAACACAATATGGGATATATCGGGCCAGGTTTTAGTATGTCTTCATGAAACGGCTTCATTTAATTTTAGATATGTTGGTGGTCGTAGTTGCATTTTCCAAACTAAGGAACTGTAATTCTTTAAAGAAAGTTATAAATATTCTTCAAAGTTTTGACCATGCATGCGATTAGTTTGTATTAATTTCTTCCAAAAAAAAAAACTAGAAAAATGCACTCTCCTTAGTAAGTTAAACCCAAAAATGACACGATTCGGAGATTTTCTCAGAGTAAGTAGAAAATATATCGACCTCAGTAAATCTCAGGGAGCATGGAAAAATAGAGTTGTTATGTTGGGATAGCACCTTATGAATTTCCCTAAGATCTACAGTCTATTTCAAGCTGTTATACTAGTCAAAATGAAACTTCAATATTAGTTTCGTTTGTTTACTTTCCCAGTAACATTTACTCAGAAAGAATTTGCAAAAATAAACGAGCAACATCCAGTAAAAAATTGTATCGACCTAGCTGATTAATGTTGTTCTTCTATAAACTTCCAAACCAATTTATTTTTTCAAAGGTAATTAAAAATGAGGTTATTTCTTTTAGTGTTGTCGTTACATTTTCAGGCATTAATTATCTACATACATTATTACATTTAATTTAGCTTGTGAATATGATCAGTCACGATCTTTCATTGTAACAAATGGAAAAGGTAGAACTGAAACTATCAAAGATTTATACGAATATTTTAGTTTTATTACACTGTGTTCGAGTGTTCAAGGTCGGGAGCGGAAAATTCCTAATGGGAATCAAACAAAAATGGGAAAAAATGGGAACAAAACGAAATAATACGAAATTTTTTGACATCGAAATCCTTACAGACAATAAATAAATATGGCCCAATGTTCATCCTTCCTAGACCTTCAGTCCTTTATAACTATTACTTGATTCTTGCTCAGAAAACCTTAGAAGAACGATTTTTATCTAATATCTTTAGACAACACTGGTTTAAACAACTGACACAATTTTCACGTATTGTTTCACTTTCATACATCATAAGTTTGATCTATAATTTAATCACGAATTGTCTTAAACACGTACTACGCTTGTAAATCTTAGAATTTTATTATCAAAATGCGTACTCTGTCTAGTTAATGGTGACCATCAATTCGTCGCTGTTCGCAGCAATTGGACCTCTGTTACGCAACAAATACAGCTGGTGCAAGAATTTTGGCTGATGAACTCTGGAAAAATTGGCCGAAAATCCAACTTTATAAGAGCATATCAAAATTGGACTATGAAGATGGACCCTTTGGGGCCCAGTTGCGAAGAAAATTCGTATGAATTAATCTTAAAACATTAAATTACATGGACCGTACTATCAATTTAAATAAAGACTTCATTAATTTCCGGGGATACGCTCTCGATACGAATTGAGAAAAAACGAACGGGTTTGCCTAGGAAGAATCCACTCACTGTCCGAAATGTCAAGATGATGTTGAAGTAAGACTTTGCTGCATCTGTAGCCATTTATGCCTTCGGAGACCGCCAGTTGATGTACGGATTTCATCGCGTTCGCTATCGACAATCTGTTGACTTCTTTTATGCGCCTACCATCAATGGAAATGTCAAGATCTAAATTGACTTCTCGCGTACATGGAGTTAAAAGAGACACAGTAGAATTTGCAGTGGATAATTTTAAACTCCGCTCCCGAAAGAATTTTATGATGGTGGTAAAGTAGTTGGAAGTTTTTGCACTTATGTCATCAATGTTGACGATGAACAAAATAATCGTAGTCATCGACGTGCGACACCACTGAAACATCAGGTGGAGGAATAGTGAGTATCACAAGAAACATGTTCAATTTGGATTTTTGGAAAAGGAACCGTACGAAGGCTTGTCGAACATTAAGTAATGGGCAAGCCAACGCTTGATATCACTCGGAAGGATGGAATTTGTGATGTCGGATATCAGCTCGGAATAATCGACCGTAATTTTTTGCAAAGCTGTTGTTGTGCCATATGTTTCCCTGAAACCATGTTGGTGGGTAGCAAGAACGAAATGCTGTTTCAGATACGGAAGCAATAGAGACTCTTGAACCTTAGCTACTGGTGAAAGAAGAGAAATCTGGTCCAAATCGGACAAATCCCATTTGATATTTACAATTCGTTTTAAAAACGAAAAATTAAACGAACTGGAATAATCTTGTGCCAGACTTCATGGTTTACAATTTACTTCACATTGTTATTAAAATATAGCGAAGAGAGAACTGACATAAATTTAATATTACATATCAAATTCAATAAGTTTTTCCTAAGAAGCAAAAACCATTTACATTTTTTATAACAAGTTAGTAAGCACTATTAAATAGCCAATAAATGATATATTATTTCAAATGTGTTGAAAAACATTTATTCAATAAAATAATAAATATATTTTTAAATATATTATTAATTTATAATTAAAAAAAGGACAGACATGCATTCGTTAATTATAATAATATATAAATACAAAAAATTCGAATCAGTTATAAATTAAAAAGGAAATATCAATTTAAAAGCGATTTAAAAGAGAGGAACACATGACCATATATTTTTAACTAAAAAAGCAGGGGCAGGGAGTTTGGGTGGTTAGCAATTTACAACATTTCACTAACTCTATATTATTGGAAATAAATATTGACATTATTATTATTAATTATTTTGAGATTCTAACCAATAACAAATGCTCACCATTTAGCAGATTCGGTTTCTTGTTGGGCCTCATTGGCACTACTGCTGCCACTGTGTGATTCTTCATCCTCATCATCGTCATGTTGTTTACCACCAACATTGCGATGTCTTAACAGAACATCGGCATCATGTTCCTTGATTTCATCAATTTTCTCCGGTTCCAATGGTTCAGTGTCGGGAGCTGCATCGTCATTGTCTTCATTATCGCTATCTTTTTCTTTGGATTTTTTCGATTTGGATTTGGAACCTTTTTTGGATTTCGAAGATTTTTCATCTTCTTCGGAGGTTACATATTTGCTCTGTAAATCAATCAAGATAACTTGGTATACAAATTTTTTATAGAGTATTTAGTTTACACCTACCTCATACAAAGGCCAGAAGGAGGCAAAGAAACCAACATCCTCTGTCAAATTGGGGAATATCCACAAATGCAATTTGCCACCCGTTACAGCCCAGACAATGGTGAAGATGATCAAACGCAAAACGGTCAGAGCCAAAATGAATACCAAGAAACCGGCCGCAGCCACCGATAGATAATAGACACCCTTGCGCAACATTGGCGGCCACAAGGGGAACAAACAAATACCAATGGCGCCCAGTAACAAAACCAAACCATATATCCAGTAATGTATGGGGATGGGATCAAAGATCCAGACATATGCCTCGGAGCCATCGACAAACACCTGTTCCGGATGCATATCCAAACGGATTTTACGTTTCTTTTTCTCTTTCTTTTCACCGGTAGCCGAGGTGCCACCATTCTCATCACTTCCGGCACCATTATTGCCACTCAACTCACCGGCATCTGCCGCCGAATCTACACCTCCATCTTTCTTTTCTTCTTTTTGTTTTGTTTCCTTTTTCTCGCCGTCTTTTTTCTCTTCTTTGTTTTTGCCCGCTGTTGATTTTGCTCCGCGAACTTCTTCTATACTAATTGGTACCTTTTTGGCTCGATGGAAAAATTTATGCTCCAACATAATATCAAGAAATTCCACCACCTGTTCACGGCTTGTAAACAATGGTGTCGAACCTTCGGCAAATTTGGATTTCATGAGAGCATCAATGGCTTTACTCGATGTAAAATATTCTACATTGTGACTTAAGAATTTGGTTTTCTTAGTTTTGACATTTTTCTTCATCCATTTGGCCACTTTAATTTCATCTTTGGATGGTTTTTCGACAGGTTGTTCTTCGCCAGGACCAGTGTATTCCTGGAAGGAAAAGGAAAAAATTAATATTAGTTTTTCGATATAAAATTTGTCTGTTTTCTATATAGTTGTTGTCGATCTATCTCCCGAAAATAATAACACTGTGAAATCCTAAGAAAACGACGGAAAGAAGGCTGAAACAAAAAACGGTTATCTGAAGGAATTGTCTTCAAAGCAATTCTCCTGGGAAATAAATTGCGATTCTCTTCTGCTGCTACGAATGGTGGCTGGTATCCGAGTGTAGCATTCCTACAGTATTATTTTATTTTTTGAACAACTGCATCTGCATGAATGCCTGATAGTCTTGTTGATGCAGTAGTTCATGATTGTACCTTCTCTTTCTCTAACATGATCTTCGTCTCCTGTTGCATTTCTCCCGGTGGCATTCTGGCAGGGCTTAATATTCTTCCACAGCATATTACATACATTCGCGAACCATACTGGTGCCACATTGCAGACCACTGACAGTCCTATTGCTTTTATAAGAGACCAACAATGTCTTCTTTTCAGGACCCAAAGTGCTGACGGCCAGCGACTTGCGCACCTTGTTCCTACTTCTCAGTTTATCGAAAATAGCAGTAAAAGTGACCAATATCATGGGTTCTGTAATCAGCTCTCCATTGACCATTATGTTCATCGGGAGGTCCTGTTGACTTGAATAGAATGTTATTTCGCCCTATGGTCTTCAGGGATCGCACAACGAAAATCGTCACGTTCATTGGTCAAAACCATCGCCTCTGCTGAGATGTTAGGTCAGGCAGTGGCGATTTTCCGGAAATTCTTCTCAGCTACCAAAATCTAACGGGTTTGGCTAGAGAAGAAGCCTTTTACTGTCCAAAATAGCAGGAGAATGTTTGAGTAGGACTTTGACCGCCAGCTGAATCACAGACGATCTGTTGATATCCTAATGGAATGACGTATTGGATGCCTTCACTATAGCGCCTGAAGTTCTGACAGATGTTTCGCGGAGGTGGATCTGTCATCACTGTGTGATATTGGCATGCCAGCAGGAACTTTCTAGTCAACAACATTATGTTGCTTGATTGACAGCATTCTGGTCTCCTCGTGGAGTTGATCGACGCTCCTCATTTGGACACAGCCCGTTACAATTCGGAATGCATTATTTTTGTAGTTTGCAAGGATCTCCAGTGTGTGTCGCTATGGATAGAAGTCCAGAATTGGGAGGTATAATTAAGGATTCGGATTATTTGGACCTTCAATAGAAATGTCAAGTTCTAAATCGACTTCTCGCTTTTTGCTCGATTTTTGGCACGGGAACCTACGAAGGCTTGCCGACTATAAAGGTAGTTGGTAAGCCAAAGCTTGATATCACTCGGAAGGGTGGATTTTGCGATGTCGGATATGAGCTCGGAATGCAAAGCCGTTGTTCTGATATATGTTCCCTCTGAAACCATGTTGGTGGGTAGCAAAATCTTGGCTACTCTAAAATCTAAAATCTTGGCTACTGCTTGGAATTTATACTGCAGTGGTTAAGGTGTTCTAACTATTAAGAGGGCCTATGCTCAAGGACTAAAGCATCTACTTCAGCGCTTAGCTGCGGGATTCTGTTGTCAGCCCTTGCAACATTGGTTGACGTTAGTAGAGGTTTCTTCTTTACTCAGAAAAGCTTCGATGTCAAAATGCCTAAAAACACCTTCACTTTTATTTCAATCAGTAAGTTTACGATTACCACATATCTAAATACAGTTGATGTAATTTCCGCAGCAGTTGAAATGTGTCACTCACTTTTAAATCGTTGATTTATGATGCATTTGGCACTGAACAAAGCTGATGCAATTGCGACAATATTTTCCATTCAGTTAGTTTTTCTCTATCGAGTTGAACTTGACGATCAAAGTTTTGCAATTCGACGCATTGGTTAAACGGCGACCCATAAGACATACAGAGCTATGTGGCTTTACAAAGTTTGTATGTCGATAATTTGCAGTTATATTGAAGTTATTTGTCTTGATCACTCCAGGAGCAGTCCTTTTCACACACCTAAAATTGTTCCCATGGCATACGCATGTTTTTGTGCAACCCGCAGAAGAATTTTCTTAATTGTTCACAGCGCTAAGTTGACTGGCAACATTTGTGTAGCTCTGGGAACCTTGGTTTGTATTCTAAACGGATTCAGATTGGGTATTTTTTAGTTTTTGTCGATATGAACATATAATTTTTTCCAATATTTCAAATATTCTTACATCCTCTTCATCGTCATCATTGACCATATTCAAATCAATATCCAACAATTCATCCTCTTCCATACTGTCGTCAAACATAACGGCCCGCTTTGGTAACAAAAAAATTAATTCCAAATTTTCAAAATACAACCGTTATGAGAAACAGCACACACGTTTAGAATATAAATTAACTTATGGTAATGAGGTGGAGCTCCAAATCAAACGAAGAAAAACTTCACTGCAAAAGTGTTTTGAAACAATAAACCAGGCTGTCACAGGTACTGTTGGAGGTGGTGGTGGGTGTCGACGAGGCGATAATATTGGTTATATTTTTAAACCATATGACACGTTGTCGTATTTACTGCTTGATAACGAATATGCAATATAATGAACGTTGTAGAGAAAATTCTCAAGCAATTGTTCAAATGAAACAATTATTAAAAAAACAAAAACCACTTTTATATTTGAACAATTGGTTTTGGCTTTCGAGTTCGTTGCTATAGTTCATAAGTGTTTCAAAAAAAAAAAAAAACAAACAAAAATAAAATTGGGGATATTAACCGGTTCATCTTCGGGCACTACATTATAGCCATCTTCATCCATTATTTCTTCAGCTGACATGATGATGTAGTTTTTTGTATATTTTTTTTTTTTTATTTAAATTTTAGGAGTTCTTCTTTTTTCTTCCTGAAGAAAGCAACAAAAAAAACTTCAATGATCGCGAAACATCCAAAGAAGATTTGGTCTTTTTTTTTGCTTCAATCACTGTTGAAATATTAAAACGTAATATGGAGGAACTGTGTTGAACGCTTTGTAATGTTTGAAAGTAATCACTGAATCATGACCAAGCTGCCAACCAGCCAGCCAGCCATAAATCCAACAAAACAGAAAAAAACCCCACTTTCCCAATACACACAACCACACTTGAAAACCAACTAAAAAACAACAACAACAAAAATAAAAAGTAAAAAAATAATAGTAACCACAAGAGTACTTAAATCAGAATTGATGTTTACTCTTCACATTTAAATCTTTGTGCTCTCTTGCTCTCCAACTGATTTCTATATTTCTCTATCTCTTTGAACAAAATCCAATGCAACTCCAAATGCATGCACAGTAAATACACAAACAAACAAAAAACTTTCTCCACAAAACAAAACTTCCCCTTTTACCATAAACAACCATACAAACCAAAACAACAACAAATAAAAAAACAACAAGAAAAAAGTTAAGCTCAAACAAGTGCTTGATAGTTGTGTTGCTGTTGTTAGCGCATACAACTATTGTAATGATCATATGTTTGGTGGAGCACCTGACAGAGAGAGAGTTGTTTAACAAAACGAGTGGGAGAGAGAAATGTAGGGCCCCCTATCAGGGCTGCCATATTTGCCGATTTATCGGCATTTTGACGATTTTTCACCCTAAAAATTGAAAATTCCGATTTTCCGATTTTTGCCTCAGAATTGCCGATATTTCAACAATCGACACAAATTGTCTAACTTTTTAATTTAATACGGCGTTACCATACAAACATATAAAATTGGCAGCTTTAAATCATTATAACTATCGGCGACTCGCCGCAGCCATTTTCAATGGCTTAGATATCTGCATTTTTTGTCAGTATTGTACTCTGTCTAGTTTACATTTTACATCGAATAAGGCAAATCTTTAGACTCCGAGTTTAGGGAGTTAAACTTTCTGAATTTTGAAGAAATTTTTGAAAATGCAGAATATAATTTAAAAAGTTTTTGGAAAAAAATTTCCGAAATTAAACGTGGGGACTCCAATTTAGCTTTTCCAGTTTTTTCTAAATTTGTACCAAGAATTATGGTTCTTCCCCACTCCACAGCAAATGTGGAACGAATTTTTTAGTCAGGTAAACCTTAACAAAACTAAAATTAGAAGCTCACTTGATAATGATTCATTGGAAGGTATTCTTCATTCTAAATATTACCTCAAACTAAATAATTCAAATTGTTTTAATGTCAAAATTGATAATGAATTACTAAAATTGTGTAATAAAAATATGTACTAGTTTGTAAGTTATTTTTATGATCTGAAAGATCTCATAATAATTACTATATTTTAGAAAAATCTACATTTTTTGTAAAAAAATGAATCTTTTATGTTATGTTTTTTTATACAGAATTGACTTTGTTATCTTTTTTTTTTTAATGTAATAAACAATATTGATTTGTTATAAACCAAAAAAATATGAATTTACTTATAAATTATATGCTTCCGATTTTTTGCCGATTTTTAAAAATACAAATGCCGATTATGCCGATTTTTTTCTGAAAAATTTACGATTTTTTATGAAATTTAACTGGCAGCACTGCCCCCTATAATCAAATCAACAGAGAGCGCACGTAATTGTTTTCCCATTTGTTTAGGCATGCCAGACACAGTAGGCAACCGAGCCATTTGATAGGAGAGTAGTGTGTTAACGTTTTGTAGAAACTAGTTTTAAGTGACGTGGTCAAAAGCACCATGTGGAACAAAAACAATAACACAACTCTTTTAGGCCAAGATTAACAGATATTATTGTGTCTTTGGGTTACTTTTTGTATTGTGCTGTGCTGTGGATTTGTAGGAAAAAAGAAAACGGGGAAAAGGAAATAAATGTGCCACAATGAAATGACGTAGAAACGCAAACACACACATAAATAGGAGATAGAGAGTACAAGACTTTTGTACACAATTAACCCATTGTGATGGGGTTGATTTTGATATTTTATAGAATTGGATTGGAAAGTGTGCCCAAAACTCCCAGTAAAGTGCGGTTAAAGCGAACTAGTAGGGACCAAGCAAATGAGTTCG